CACCAGCAGAAGCTTAGCCTTCAGGTGGGACACCCAAGTTGGACAGGTCTTAGGGTAGAGGCCTGACAATTAATTGCAATCCAATTACATGACAAAAACTGTTATCCAGAGCACCACCCCACCCCTTTCCCGCCTTTGTCGCCACCATGTGCCCCCTTCACATTTCTGTCTGCCCCCTCATATATGCATGTCTAGAACCGGCCCCGATGCATGTACATATTTATATTATGGCGATCGCGTCAAACAAATCGCGGCAATGCCAAAAACACCAAAAACCCGTGCATGTACATTGTCAGTTATTAACGCACATAAATAAATTTCAAGCACATGTTAATATATTGCTGCCATATTGGTTTTCGGTTATCTCGATCATCGGTTATCTTGACGCTTTTTGGCAACCCCCTAGGCCGGCGACATAACCGGGTTCGACTGTATATGAATAATCAGCCTGTTCTAGTTTAAATGGAAATATATTATTGTTAATAAGCTGAGTCTGAGAGTTTTATTTATTTGATAGTTTATTTCACATTTCTTGTTTGTAAAGGCTAAATACAAATAAAAAGTGAACCTTATTTTTTTTGTACTGTTTTTATTTAAAAAACAATTATATAATTTTAATAGGAGGAGCTTGGAGGTATTATAGACTTTGCAAATTCAGTTTGCAGACATCCATTGTGTGTGTCCTCGGCAGTTTTTTCCTGAGGCTTTTTAATATTGTCCATATCGATATCGGAATTATATAGTATCAACCAAAAGGAAAAAATATATCGTGATATAAATTTTTGCCATATCGTCCAGTCCTAATCTCACCAGTGTGGTGTATTGGTGCAGTTTATTGGAAAGCGGTAGTATTGCACAGGTAGAAAAGAAGGAAAATGTTTAAAAATACGTCTGACGACAATTATCGACAATCAAATTCTTCGGCTAAAGTGGACTGCAACATACATTTGCGCTGCGGTTTGTTTTAATGCTCTCATACTGTTATCCAGTGAAATCGATCTTGGGTGTGGTTTGCATGGAAGTCAGCTATGGTTTGAGCTGAAATAGTTTTGGGGGGGGGGGATGGACGGACGATACTGATAGGGTGGCTGAATACCCCTGGTAACAGCCTTAAATAAGTCAACAAAAGGTGAGATGCAGGAGAGTAGGCATTGCATTTTGCAGATATACTCAAGTAAGACTGCAGAATATTCACTTATTACATTGAAAGTAGATTATTTTTTCCTTGATTAAGTGTAGTGCGCCCCTACCCCCCTCTGCATATTTGACTTTTTTTTTTTTTACATATTTCAGGTGAGAACGTGGACTTGGTCGCCGCACAA